CATAAGATTCAGTTAAGTTTAGTCTTATTTTTTATGTTACAGTCAGTTATTGTTAGTTATTCTACTTGGTACATGTTGGTCTACTACTTAGAATTATAAATCAGTTATCTACTGAGTTCACTTAGTGAGTGGTTGTCAATTTTTAATTTTATGTCTTATAGTTTTCTGTACTTAAGCTTTCAGTAGAAAGCAGATATTAATGAAGAAGTAGTTCTGTTTTCTTTCACTTACTGTTCTTAAGCATTCTTTTTACTCTCTTTTATTTTCCTTTACTTTATTTTGTTGAAATAACGTCAGAGCCCATAGAATATAACTAAGTAATACATAAATCCTAAATTATTTAACTCGACAATCATCTTCTTTGGTGCTGCATCGTACATGGTGGTTCTTCAAAATGGGAAATCAAATCTTTTACAAACCCTAATGAATTTGAGAATCATCTCAGGCCTTCTGTGAAAACCAGAGGACTGTACCAAGCTGGTGTGCACTTTCCTCTGAACCTGCTTTTGTTTCTGAGATTGTATGGGACATGAGCCATCTACCATCTTTCAAGAAAGTTTGATTGTTATGTATTCCTGTTCTTATATATGATTTTTTTTTTAAATAAAGTTGGGTTGGCAGTTGATCATGTACTACACACGCACACACACACATAAATATATATTGTACTTTGTTCTATAATGCTTTTGCTACATATTTTTTAGTTTTTATAATCATAAGTGAATTGCTGTTTATGAGGAGAAAACAAAAAATGTTCAACAGCTTTGTGTCTATATTGCTTCTGATGGAGGTCGAGTTTGTCGTCCGCTGGTTATAGCTGACAAGGGAATTTCAAGGATCAAAGAAAACCATATGAAGGCGTTGGTGGTAATTCTAACGTGCAAATCTTTTTCCACAAGGAAATGTTATTAAAGTATTGATTCATTCTTTCTTGTGTATTTAGGATGGAATTCATACTTTCCAAGACTTTGTTCGTGGAGGGTTGATTGAGTATCTTGATGTTAATGAACAAAACAATGCTCTGGTCTGTTTCCATCTATTATTTGTAAAGTTATAATACTGATGGTGAATCTCAAGGCATGATTATCCCCTTTTCTCATATATAGATTGCATTATATGAGGGAGAGGCCACATCTGAAACAACCCACATTGAGATAGAGCCTTTAACCATCTTAGGCGTCTGTGCGGGGTTAATTCCATATCCTCATCATAATCAGTCACCAAGAAATACCTATCAGGTTTTGTCTATCGTTTGAATATCCAATTCATTGATTTTCTCTTTTATGGCCTTTAAGTGTTATGCTATATGTGTATTTATATATAGTGTGCTATGGGCAAGCAAGCAATGGGAAGCATTGCATATAACCAGGCAAGTGCTCTTTCTTATATTTTATGGTAACAATATTTCGTTTCCCTTTCTTTTACGAGATTATTGTTTTCTGGATTGTTGATGGCATTGCATTATTTAAAGCAACATGCTTTAGTTGTGTTTATGAAGATATGAGGCCAGTTTTTTGTCTGCTAAAGTCTTGGTGTCTTAATTTAAATATTCTCATATTGCAAACCCAATGTATCATGTAGCCTATGTGCACTAATGTGAAAACTCGTATTTACCTCGATATTTACAGTATTTGAGCTTTGGTACAATAGCTATGCTCTGTAAGTTTTTTTTATTATTATGAAACATTTTAAAATGTTGCCATAGAGAGTAAACAGATTTCCTTTTATTTTCAGCAACCCCCCAAGCCACCCACCCAAAACAGAAAAATAAAAGATTCCAAACGAAGAAAATAAAAGGAGAAAATTGCTTGAGAGTAAATCTCTTGTTCCATAAGAAGAATGTCACTTTATTACCAAACTGTTGATGCTACATGTCCTCATTGCATATTTGTTGTGTTTCAGTTCTTTTTCTTTCCATTGGAATGTTTTGTTGGGCTGTTTCTGTCTGAGATGTTAAGACTGTTAGTTTTGAGTCTTTAAGATTTCTTTAATGGGTCATTGGTAGGATAATGAGTTGTAGTTCTTATATATCTTTTCTTTCAGTATTCTTGATTTTTAAAAGTTTGCTATTTGATCTTACAGTTTTCTCGAATGGACTCCGTACTTTACCTGTTGGTTTATCCTCAACGGCCTTTATTGACAACAAGGACAATTGAGCTGGTAAGCATGCAGTGTGTTTTTGAGGGTGGTATATCAGTATGTATGATACCTGAAATACTCTGCTCCCAGGTTGGATATGATAAGCTTGGAGGTGGTCAGAATGCTACTGTTGCTGTGATGAGTTGTAGTGGCTATGATATAGAGGATGCTATTGTCATGAACAAGTCATCTCTGGATCGTGGGTTTGGTAGTTGTATTGTCATGAAGAGGTAAACTGACGTGTAACTTTGTTAATTTTATTTCTTTTCTTCCTTCTGGTTGCAACATGTGAACCTTTATTGTGTTTGTGCATTTTGAGATCCCACTTGAGTTTAGGGACTCTAGTTTGCTCACGTCAGATATTCTCCATTGAACAGTTACACTGCTGTTTATCAGAAGAATTATGAGAATGGTACATCAGATAGAGTACTTAGGCCGCAAAGAACAGGACCTGGTGCAGAAAGGATGCAGGTACATGATGGTGCATTTATGTAGTTTTCCCTCTTCATTCTAATGGATTCTGTATCTAGCATCTCTTTATGGCATCATTCAGGTATCCTCATACCATGCTTGCTATGACGAATGATTTAACATATATTCATGTATGTTTTGGTGTGGTGGCAATTTTTCCCTTGTTCTCCCTTTCTTCCTTGTTCACTTTGTTTAATTCCTTATTGTCTTTTAAAGTTGATTTTTGCTTTCTCTTTGTGGTCTTCCTTGATTCTCCTCATTATGTTATTGAGCCTGTTCACTTGTCTCCTAGCAATTTTAGCCTACTTAGCACTCTGCAAATATG